TCGCCTTCGACCCCCAGACGCGCGAGGACGTCATCACGGAGGACGGCCTGCCGGCGCTGATGGCGCTCCTGGATCTGGAGGAGGAGGCGCTGCGGCAGGTCGACGAGGCGACGCGCGCGAACTCGCTCATGGCTTTATGTAATCTGCTCGCGGACCCGGCGACGTGCCCCCAGGTGCTCGAGGCCGGCGTGTTGTTGAAGCTCGTGGGTTTTACCAGGTACCTGGACACGGTGCCGTCGCTCCACGAGTACCTGGCGGTGGCGCTGTTAAATTTATCGATCCACACGGACGTGCGGCCCTACGTCGCGCGCACGCCCGGCTGCGTGGACCTGCTGCTGGAGCTCGCCATCTTCGGCATCGAGAAGGCGGCGCCGGGCGGCGCCCGCGTGGCGACGGAGAGCTCGCGGGCGACGAAGGCTTTGAAGACGCTCTTCAACCTGGGCATGGAGCCCCAGAGCCACGAGGTGCTCCTGTCGCGGTCGCTGCGGCTCGGGCTGCTGGACGCCATCGGCAAGCTCATCGGCATGCAGAAGGAGGTCGAGGACGACGACGCCTCCGTGAGCTCCCAGGGGTCGCGGCCCGGCAAGCCGAGGAAGCGGCGCCACAAGGCGTCCAAGGACAAGCAGCCCGCGCAGGCGCACGACGGCAACTCCGCGCAGCATTTGTGCGCGATGCTCCTGCACGTGCTCACGACGAACCAGGACAACCACGACGCCCTGCTCGGCGGCGGCGCCGTGCTGCTCCTCGTGAAGCTGTCGCAGTCGCCCAACGAGGTCACGAAGACGGCCGTCGCGGGGAGCTTGTACCTGTCGCCGGAAAGAAACAGACTTCAAACCTCTCGATCTCGGTCACATCGAAGTCGATTCTCCTGATTTTTGGACGAATCGATTGCCCTCGTCGAGTTCTCGAAGCACGGCGGAAGTGCTTGCATCAAAACATTCGAATACGCGCACATTGAAGTCGAGTTGAAGATTTGATTTGCACACAGGTACAACCTCACGCAGTGCACGCCCGTCGCGCACGAGGCCTTTTTGGGCGCTTTGATGAACCTGAGCCACAGCAACGAGAACGCGCGAGTATTGTGGTGCGCCTGGTGCTTCGCGAACGTGTCGACCTACCCCAAGGGCCGCGCCATGCTCGGCAAGCTGAGCCGGCGCCTCGTGCCGACGCTCCTCGCGATGATGCGCGCGGGCTGCGCGGACGCGGAGCGCATCCAGTACCACTGCGCCGTGGCCATGTGCAACACCCTGAGCGTGTTCCTCAAGAAGGACGACGTCATCGCCATGCTCAAGGAGGGCACGGTCCAGGACGTCATCGTCATCACCGTATTGCGCGCGAACGACGTCCGGACGAAGCAGGTCCTGGCCCAGGCGCTCTTCAACCTGCTGGCGCGCGTCGACACGCGCGCGGAGATGATCCGGCGCGACGTGCCCCTGGCCCTCGTGCGCCTGACGAAGGTCGAGGACCCGATCCTCAACCTCCTGTGCGTGAACATGCTGAAGAACCTGTCGTGCGAGGCGGAGACGCTGTCCCAGAAGCTGCTGGAGATGAAGGTCGTCTGCGTCATGGTCGACCAGTGCCTCTCGCCCAGTGGCGGCGTCCAGATCAAGCGGCGCTGCGCGTCGACGCTGGGCAACCTGAGCCGCGTGCCCGCGATGACGCGGGGCCTCGCGGCGCGCGAGGCGGGCATCGTCGCGGGCATCCGGTCCATCGCCGTCGCCAACGACTCGGAGACGCTCGAGAACATGGCCCTCGTGGCCTTCTACCTGTCGCGCGTGCCCGAGGGCCGCGAGTCGCTGACCGCGCAGAACGCGACGCCCGTGCTCGTGAATCTGTGCGCGTCCGAGGAGACGCCCGTGACCGTGCGCCAGCTCGTCATCGCGTCGCTCTGCAACCTGTCCACTTTTGAAAAGTCGCACCGGTCCATGGCCGCGAGCGAGAACGGCGCGCTGAAGCTGCTCATCGAGACGCTGAGCCAGCCGCACCAGTCTTTGGACACGCGGATGAACGCGTGCGTCGCGCTCTGCAACCTCGTCGTCCACTACCCGGAGAGCCGCGAGAACGCCGTGCAGATGGACCTCATGCCCGCGCTCAAGCAGCTCGTGCGCGCCTGCTCGACGGACGCGCAGTATACCGTTTTGGCGAAGATCGTCCGCGACCTCACGAAGCACGCGGACGGGCTGCCCGTGCTCGCGGCCCAGGGCGCCATGGCGCTCTGCGTGCGCCTCGCGAAGCGCGAGCCGCCGACGCTCAAGCACGACGTGGCCACGGCGGTCTGCAATTTGTGCAGCTGCCGCTTCGCGCCGCCGCAGGTCATCGAGGAGGGCGCGGTGTCCGCGCTCTTCTGGCTCACGCTCCAGGACTGTTTGAATTTAACGCGGCCCATCTTCCGCGAGTGCTCCATCGCCGTGCGCTACCTGGCCCAGAACGCGGCGTTATTACCGTTGATCTGCATGGAGAACAACCTGCTGCCGCTCCTGCTCCGCCTCGCGAAGTTCATGGAGTGCGAGGACACGCGCTACGACTCCGCGGTGTCGCTCTACCACATCCTGGGCAACGAGCCGTCCCAGAAGTCCATCTGCCGCTCGGGCGCCGTCAAGGTGCTCACGGACCTCGCCGCGACGGGCACGCGCGTCCGCGAGGTCTGCTCCGCGGCGCTCCACCAGCTGCCGAACGGCCTGCTCCAGCACATGGACGGCCAGCTGTTAAGCGTGCTCATGTCGCTCCTGCAGATCCACAACGCCGACTTCACGGACCCGGAGTCCTTCGTCCCCGACCGGAGCTTCCAGAGCGACCACGCGTGGGACGTCGCGGGCGCCGACTACGACCCGCCGCGGCGCAAGATGCAGGCGCAGTGGCCCACGTCCGTCATCGAGAAGTCCGTGACGGCCTTCGTGCCCGCGCGCCACGCCATCGACTCCTACCCGGGCGAGCAGGTGAACCCGAGCCGCGCGCGCGGCACGACGGACTTCATCGGAAGCTATTCCAAGATGCGCGCGCCGTGCGCGCAGCAGACGGCCGCGAACCTGCAGCTGTCGCTGCTCGGCGCGCCCCACGAGGAGCAGGTCGTGCGCGAGAAGGAGCCCGAGCAGGCGCCCCTGTCGTCGTTCCTGGAATTGGCGCCGCCGCCCGTGCCGGCCGTCGCCGCGCGGCCGCCGCCGCCGAAGCGCGCGGACGAGGCCGCGCTGGCCGCGCCCGGCGACGACGCCGCGGCCGTCGCGTCGTCGGAGAAGCACGCGCGCGTCGCCCTGCCGAACATCCACGCCAAGGGCGCGCACAAGTTCATGACCGCGGCGGCCGTCGACGCGTCGGACGCGCTCCAGATGTCGACGATCCGCGCGGCCTTCCGCCGCGACTTGGACGACGACCCGGCGGCCCGGGGCGCCTCCGCCGCCGACGCGGGGCCGGGCAGCCCGGCCAAGGGCAAGGCCGCGCCCGAGCCCGTCAAGCGGAAGCAGAACCCGCGGAAGTACCTCGTCGCCAAGAAGATGAAGCAGAAGGACCGCATCTCCGACGACTACTACGAGCTCCTGCGCCACGTCGCGTAGTAAAACGGGTGCGGTCTGCCAGCTGGGCTGTGTGGGGGGTAGGAGGCGTGGTAGGAGGCCAACACCCCTATCATCATAACAAAAATGCCACAAAAATTTTCGCGCGCCCATCTGAAATCTCATGCGCCCCGATGGCCCGTGTGGTCGTCGCCCTTCTGGCCCTCGGCGCCGCCGACACCGCCTGCAACACGAACGAGGACTGTGGCTCCTGCGAGTTTTGTCACACCGGTCCCCCGTCTGAATTCGACACGGCCGTTTGCGTCCTGTGCTACTATCACTGGGACTGCGACGATATACCGTGGGACGACGACTGCGATGCTTTCCACAAGATGACGTGCGCCGCTCACGCGGACCAGCCCGAAGAGCGCGAGGCGCGGGCGAACTGCCAGGCCGTTTGCGAAGACGACGAGGCGGCCCAGACGTGCGTGATCGACGAGTGCGGCGCCCGCTGGGACGGCTACGTCCTCGCGCCGTCGGGATCACGAGACTGCGGCGCTTGCGGCGCGTCGATCGAGTCCTACGAAGAGTGCCAGAAGGCTGCCGCGGGCGGTGCGGCCGCGCTCGGCATCGGCGGCCTCGCGGAACGCGAGAACTGGAGCGGCCCGCCCGGGTGCCATGTTCAAGATCGCTTCCAATGGAACGACAACCGCGCGGGCGGGTCGCACGAGGGCCACGCGCCCGTGTGCTACGACGGTGTGGCGCCGCCGCCCGTCGCCGAGCCGTTCGCGTTCGAGCAGTCGTGCGCGGCCGAGCACGAGGGTGTCTGCGAGAGAAGGACCATCCCGAGGCGGGGATGAACGTCGACGACGACTGCTGCGCGCTCGAAGAGAGCGCCAAGTGCCAAGAAGGCTACAAATACTCGCGGGGCTCCAAGTGCTGGGAGGGCGACGGCTGCACCGCGTACAAGACGTGCTGCACAAAGTGCGACGATCCGGAAGTGGACTGCGAGAACAAGAACGACAAGTGGGGGCAGGACGCCGGATCGTGTCACGAAGGCCATCGAGCGATCGTCGCGATCATCGTCGCGGTCATCGTCGGCGTCGTCGCATGCGGCGGCATCGTTGGATGTGTCGCGAGGTGCAGCGTCCTGCGGCCGCGACGATATTGGAGAGATTTTGACCGGGAAAACAATCGTCACCATCATGAATCCTCGGTAGGTATGCTGCGTGCTCTACCGCCGCCAGCAGGCGCACGTCAGCAGGCACGCCCCGCCCCCGTTCGTTTCTCAGCCCTACGCGCTTCAGGGGCAGCACGCCCCGCCCCCGTTCGTATCTCAGCCCCACCAGCCCTACGCGTACGCGACCTCCGCGCCCGCTGCCACGGAGATGGTGGTCGTCCAGGGCACCTACGTGGAGCCTCCCGCGGAGCGACCGGGCGTCCTCCCCGGGACGTACCTCAAAAGCTGAATCCCTATCGCTGATTCCCCCCCATAAGTTGTGTCAGTGTAATCCGCTAGCATTCGCAGTCGCCGACGCCGCGGAAGCTCCCGAAGCGGAGGCGGCGCCGGTGGCCCGCGCAGATCGCGGCGCAGTCCGAGGCGACGGGCTCGGAGATGAGGACCGTGTCCTCCGCGTCGAACGCGCCTTCGTCGGGCGCGGTGAATTCGCCGAAGTCGAACTCCGCGTCGAAGATCATCTCGCCGGGGGAGTCCGTCCCGGCGTAGCTGTAGCTGTAGGACGCGTCGAACGAGTAGGCGTACTCGCCCGCGTCGACGACGACGAAGTCCGCGCCGTCCTGCTCCTCGAGCGCGCCGGAATCCCGCGTGCTCGTCGACGCGGCGGTCGTCGTCGCGGCAGACGGCGCGGCCGTCGGCGCTGTCGAGTCCACGACGAGCTCGAATTGGAAGTCGTCGAAGAAGACCTCCTCGATTGCGGCCATCGTCGGCGCGGCCGTCCGGGGGGTCGGCGCGCGCGTCGGCGGGGCCGTCGGCACGTCGATCCGAGGCATGTCGTCCCCATCCGCAGTCGCAGCGGAAGGTGCGGCTGTCGGCGCGCGCGTCGGTGCGGCCGCGGGCGACGTCGTCGGTGTGTCCGTGGCCGCGGCCGTGGCCGCGGCCGTGGGCGAGGCCGGCGAGGTCGTCGGTATTTCCGTGTGCGTGGTCGTCGGTATTTCCGTGCCGGTGGGCGTGGTCGTGGGCGTGGTCGTGGGATTGGTCGTTCCCCCCCGGGTTGGAGAGAATGTCGGCGTGCCTGTCGGCACGCCTGCCGGCGTGTCCGTCCCGGTCGGCGTGGCTGTCCCCCCGGTCGGTGTGCCCGTCGGCGATGCAGTTCCGGCCGTCGGCGTGCCCGTAGGCGAAGCCGTGGGCATGCCCGTGAGCGGGGCCGTGGGCGTGCCCGTGGGCGCGGCCGCCGGCGAGGTCGTCGGCGCGGCCGTCGGCGCGGCCGAGGGCCCAACCGTAGGGGGCGAGGTCGTCAGCGCGGCCGTTGGCGACGCCGACGGCTCAACCGTCGGCATGCCCGTCGGACTGGCAGAAGTGACCGTAGGAGCACTCGTGGGATCGGCCGTCGGCGCGGCCGTCGGCGCGCCTGTCGGCATGTCCGTCCCGGTCGGCGTGCCCGTCGGCGATGCAGTTCCGGCCGTCGGCGTGCCCGTGGGCATGCCCGTGGGCGCGGCCGTGGTCGCGGCCGTAGGCGCGGCTGTGGGACCGGTTGTGGGCGATGCGGTGGGCTCAACCGTGGGCGAGGTCGTCGGCGCGGCTGTCGGTGACGCCGAGGGCTCAACCGTCGGCATGCTCGTCGGACTGGCAGAAGTGACCGTGGGAGCACTTGTGGGATCGGTCGTCGGCGCGAGCGTGGACGCGGCCGTAGGCGCGGCCGTAGGCGCGGCCGTGGGCGCGGCCGTGGGCGATGCGGTGGGCTCAACCGTGGGCGAGGTCGTCGGCGCGGCTGTCGGTGATGCCGAGGGCTCAACCGTCGGCATGCCCGTCGGACTGGCAGAAGTGACCGTAGGAGCACTCGTGGGATCGGCCGTCGACGCGGCCGTCGGCGCGGCCGTTGGCGCGAGCGTCGGCGAGCCCGTCGGCGACTTTGTGTGGCCGGTAATCGTAGGCGCGAACGAGGCCGTCGGCGCGAGCGTCGGCGACGCCGTGGGCGACACCGTGCCCGTGGGCGACATCGTGGGCGCCATCGTGGGCGACACCGTCGGACTGGCAGTCGGCGCGATCGTCGGCGATACCGTGGGCGACACCGTGCCGGTGGGCGCGCTCGTCGGACTGGCGGTCGGCGACATCGTGGGCGACACCGTGGGCGCGCTCGTCGGACTGGCGGTCGGCGCCATCGTGGGCGACACCGTGGGCGCAGCAGTCGGCGATTTGCTCACCGTAGGCGCGCTCGTCGGACTGGCCGTCGGCGCGGGGCTCACCGTCGGCGCCATCGTCGGGCAGCCCAGGATCATGCTCGAGGCGCCCGCGAAGTAGAAGAGGCGACCCGAGTTGCCCTTGCTTCCCTCGCTGTCGACGTCGAGCGTGAGCTCGAAGGAGGAGCGGTGCTCGAGGCCGAGCGTCACCGTGCGGTCCTCCTGGTCCACGGGGCAGGCGCCGTGCGAGTCGCAGGCCTCGCAGGACACCGTCCCGAGCTCCATGGGGCCGGACGGGTTGTCGCAGCCGTCGCCCGTGCCCGTCGCGAGGAA